ATAAAGCAAAAGGACAGATGTAGATATTTCAGAGGCAGTCAGATAAAACCATCTTTCTGCTCTGCAGGAGCCTGGCTTGAACCAGGAAGGAGAGATTCCTACTTGTTCAGCCACATTTGCCCTGCTTTGGGGAAGCTAGGTCTTTAATAAACTGGATTTATTGGCTCTGGACTTATGCTGCCCTTTGCAAGCTCAACACAGAATAATCTGCTTCCAAGGTCCTTGTTTTATTTTTGAATATTAAATTTGAGACCAGCCAATGACCCCATCCAAAACAATAACTATAAGTCTGGCTCCCTGGCTCACACCTGCAATCCTAAGGTACTTGGGAAGCTGGGACTAGAGGATCTGCAAGCCAAGGCAGAAAAGTCTAAGAGACTCCATCTCCAGTTAACAAGCAAGCAAACAAACTAATAAAAGTAGACCGAAGGCCTGCCCCAAGTGGGCAAGCACTAGCCACAAGCAAGCTAGACATTGTGGAATACTTCTGTCAGCATCTGGGCTCAATGCTTTATCTAGGTGATTTTACCCTTGAAAACTCCAAGAGGTAGTGATGAATATTCCCATTATATAGATGGAGAGACTGAGGCTCAGATAGTCACACTATAGTTGACACAGTGGAATCAAGGAATGAATACCTAGGGTGTTCATTGTCTGGTGTCTGACTCCAGAGCCTGCTTCCACTGAACACCACACACAGTTGCATCAAGAGGAAGACACTGGCAAGGGTTCTCCAGTGCCCCTCCCCTGCCATGGCTCTTGTTAGCAGCAGAAATGAGTGGGTGTGTCCCAGCCATGTCAAATCCAAATCACTTATAGCCCCTAAGGAACGGTGATGGGTGGTACCCATGTACCTGGATGGCCCTGGGTGGTCTTCAGCACATCTGTTGGCTAGGATGATGTCACACTGTCTTAGATGCCAGATAGGAGTCATATTTGGGATCTAGGGACTCGGTTGATTTACTTAGCTGAGTGTGGACCTTGTATTTGGTTGCTTGTAGTCATGGCTTTCATCCTAGCACTGATTTAAGTGGGTATCTTCTTCAATGGTGGATGTTAACCTGAACAAGTGTATCCCCAGGATTCTAACTCTCCAAGGATTGGCTCTTAAGATAATACTTTTCCCTGGCTGGTCATTTCTGTCTCATACTTCTCACTCCATTTGTCCTCCTGGACACTGTATAGTTTCTCATTCACTCTCTCATTATCAAATGGCCTTCTCCGTTTCTGTGTCCTGTCCACAGCTGGTTATCATTCCAGGCAGAATTCAATCTCCCCTCCTCCAGGAGAATTCTTTCCTCCCACCCCCACCACCTCTTCCAGGAGAATTTCCCCCTCTCCTCCAGGAGAATCCCCTCCCCCTCCAAGAGGCTTCTTGGTCAACCCTAGTGTCGCTATCAACTCTGTCTAACTACCACCAACACTTCCTTGGCAGTGTATCCCTGACAAATTCTCTGATTGTATCTCATGGAGATACAGAGATAGTCTTTTCTTTAGGCCTTTCTTTAGTGTTCTGTCTTCATCAGATCTTATCTGATTCCACTTCAGCTTGTCTCTTCCCCTCTCAAAGTTCCCAGGGTAGAAATGAATGCAATAACAGACATGTCACCTTCAGTTCTGGGGGAAGAAAAGGACAGATGAATAAAATGCCTCAATACCTGCAGGGGACAGGTTCTAGGATATCCCTGTGGACACCAAAATCCTATGTGTTTGCCTATATAATTTGTAATCTCTTACAGTTTAAATTCCTCTAGATTTACAATACCTAATTCCATGTAAACGCTATATAAACATTTTTATACTTATTATTTGGGGAGAAATGACAAGAAAATAATGTCCCTAATGTTCAGTACAGATAGAAGGCTTCCCCTTAATATTTTCAATCTGCATTTGGTTGAACCTACAAAGCGTTCTCCTTCTAGGCTTTTCTACATCATTCCAGAACCTCTTGCCTAGCTCTTTGCAGCACCACTACAGTCTTTTCCAGTCTTTCCCAATCAAGTCCAAGGGAAAGTCACCACAATCTCCTTTCTTAGTCTCTTGCCTTGGGTTCTTGGCATCAAGTTGTCACATTTAACCCCTCAAGTCTCAGAAGATTGGGTCAATATGGTGGGGTTCTGGAGATATCCTAAGGGCACAATGGGCAGGTGGTGGTTATTTTCTATGCTGCTCCCATCATCCTATCCTCCAACCAACCTAGGAGGTAGATAACCTCCATGATGGCTGGCAGGTTGCAGGTAACCTATGTTGCCACCACCTCTACAGACTGGTTCTGAGACCCCCCCCCCAGGTCTATGATTTCAGTCTCAGTTCAGTCCCTAAATATTTCTGTGGAGTGGATCTGACAATATCATCTTCAGGAACAACAGAGCCCTGCTCTGACTTCCTGGACCAGTGTGAGCCTCAGCCTTAGATATCTTTAGGAGATCTCAGGCCAATGATCTGGAGAGAGGACAGATGGCACAGAGGGCTACTTATGTCACAGGAAAGCAACATCTAGGGAGCCTAGGATGTATGCTGAAAGGAAAGAAGGAATCATATTCACAAACTGGATTCTTAAAGGAGGGAGGCGTTTGGGAGTAGAGTTCCAATGGAGAAGAAAGAACCGTGGTCTCTAAGAGAAAGTTAGCATTTGTCAAAGACCAATGAAACCTCCTGGTAGAAGATGAGCAGCTTGCTCACACAATAATGAGGACAGGCCAGGGCTGGGATGTAGCCCAGTGGCAAAGCATTTGCCTAGCAAGTGCAATGTTCTGAGTTCAATTCCCAGGACCCCCCAAAAAAAAGAAAAGACAAAAATAAAGTACAGAAAAGGCTAATAGCTATTTATTTCAGGTTCTACTAAATATTCTCTGTATTCTTATTGTAAAATTTTACAGTTGAGAAAAAGGGGGTAAGGATAAATTAAAAATAAAACTTCCCATCAGCCCAATGGAATAATACATGTCTATTTTAAAAATAAGGAAGGGCTCTATGTTCCCATCTGGAAAGATCTCCAAGAAACACTGTGGAAGGAGGGGAAAGGCAAGTTTCAGAACTGTGTGTTTTTTTTTCATTTCCAGGGCTGGGAATAAAACCTAGGGTCACTATACATGCTGTACAAGTTCTCTACCACTGAGCCACAGCCCTGGCCCTTGAGAAGCAGATTCCACCCAATCTTATCTGTATGAAATGTCTTTTCAATGTGTATGTCTATATCTTTCTAGATACATAAAGTTAAATCTAAAAGAGACAGGAACTTATTAACTTGAAACAGATGGTATGCACTAGGCATGAGGCATCACTTGAATTTTTAAAATGATAATCCATATTATTTTTATAATTACAACAAATCAATAAATAATTTTTATAAGTGACTGGCGCAGCCCAAAACAGTAAAGTCAAGTCTCTCCAGGTTAGCAGGCTTCCCATGAGGCCGGTTACCAGAGTTTCCACTTGCCCTGGCCTGGCCTGGCCTCTTTCCTGATTTGACACTCAGATGTCTGCACGAGGGTCGGTGACAGATGCCAGTGGTGGTAGTGCTGACAAGCCTCAAGCCACATTGTTCCATTACTTCCAGCTCCCTGTTGCCCTTCTCTTGGCTGCAGTGAGTGCTGCTTTCTCTTATCTGCACCTAGCAAGAGTCAAAAGTTCTTGTGAGTGTGACTGCAGAATACCGGGCTTTCTAAAGCTTCCTGATAATGCTTAAATTCCTTTCAGAGAGGCACTGCTTGCAGTCAGGTTAGGGGACCATGTGGCTTGGGCACATTGTGTACTTGTAGTTGGATTACAAACCAGAGGAAAGCTGGCAATACACAATGGAAGAGACATTTTAGGATGTGCTTATAAGACCACCGGGAATGATAACCTCTCTCCCTAAGCCAGTCTATCAGCTCCCCTACAGGACCCAACTGAATAAGAGTCTCTGCATGATTGAGCCATTGAACACTTGCAAAATCTCCTCAAGATACCAAGAACATTCTCCTAGTAAACACATAACCATCAGACACATTTCTGGGACATAGCTTTTTTATTTTTTTATATTTGATCAGTAATAGGACTTGAGCTTAGGGCCTAGGTGCTATCCCTGAGATTTTTTTTTTTTCACTCAAGGCTAGTGCTCACTTGGAGTGCTATCACTTGGACCCACAGCACCACTTTTCTGGTGGTTAATTAGAGATGAGACTCATCTCTAATTAGAGTCTCATGGACTTTCCTGCCTGGGATGGCTTTGAACCTCAATCTTCAGATCATAGCCTCCTGAGTAGCTAGGATTACAGGCATGAACCACTGCCACCCAACCAGGACACCACTTTTATTAACAGCAATGCTTGGTTTGAGGGGCACTTTGGGATACCCCCAGTTAACATTAGCTAGTCCTGACACAGGAATTTCAACTTAGTAACCTTACATCCCTTTATTAACAAAGTTCATTAAACATTTTGTCCCACATGACTAGCTTTTTGCTTGAAGATCATGTGAACAGCATGCTGTCTTATCAATTTGTTTCTCATTGAAAAACCTCAGGGAGAGCAGCCATCTTCTCCTGCTTTCTCTTCATCCTCATGGTACAGTCTCAGGCCATGTACTTTCCTCTACTTTCTGGATTCCCATAGAAAAGGTGGAGAAAGGTTTAAAACCCCAAAATAAAGTTTCACAGGTGAGGATAAACCTTTCATACATTGTTCATTCATTCTCTCAGCCTAGCGGACCACATTCAGAAATACAAGTTCTCACCGAGGAAACGGACAGGGGGAGGATGGGAAGGGGAAACAAAGGAGGAGGCTACAATGCTTGATAAGAAATGTACTCATTATCTTGCCCATGTAATCGTAACCCTTCTGTACAGTCTTTTCACAATAAAAAATGTATCTCCACTCTTTTCTGAACGTGGAAAACACAACAATAAAAGAAAAAGGTCAGAAAGAGATGTAGGCTTGCTACCAAATGTAAAAGTATTCCTAAAACAGCCCTCTGGGGTTCCCCCACACTGACTCAGGCCTTGGGTTTCCCTCCCTTAGGGAAGCAGGTGAGCTTCTCCAAGGCCACAGATGCATTTGCATTTGAAGAAGACAGCAGCAGTGATGGGCTTTCTCCAGTTCACACTCGAAATGAAGACCCCCAGAGTGCTGCAGGATCCCCCCAGGATGCAAAAACCACAGAAGCCCCTTTGGCAGGCCCTGTGGGGACAATCGAGGTAAGACATCAGCTATGGCATCTGAGTTTCCTCATTTCTTCATAATATTTCTCTCTGTATGTATGTGTGTGTGTGTGTGTGTGTGTGTGTGTGTGTGTGTGTGTGTAAGCACACACTCAGGGTGGTGCTCTCACTTCACTTCTTCACTCAAGACCAGTGCTCTATTACTTGAGCTACATCTTCGATTCTGGCTTTCTGTTGGTTAATTGGAGATAAGAGTCTTGTAGCCCAGGCTGGCTTTGAACCATGATCCTCAGATCATTGTTCTGAGTAGCTAGAATTATAGACAGGAGCTACCAATGCCTGAGTCTTGAAATCAATCTTGCTACCGTTGATGTGGCGGAAACTTCAGAGCTGTTTCTTAATGATCCATCTCATGTTTTGTTTGTTTGATTTTGCTTGTGAGGCGGGCAGAGTTTTGCATGCTGGCTTCAAACTCATAATCCCATTTCAGTCTTCTGCCACCTCCCTCCCTCCCTTCCCCCACCCCCAGCCACACACAATACTCTGTGCTGGAACAACGGGCATGTGCCACCACACCTGGCTTACTTGCATCTTTTTTATACCCCTCCTCACCTTATTCATCCTGGAGATCACACACACACACACACACACACACACACACACACACACACACACAGGATCAGTCCAATTCCTTAGACTGTTGAGTCATGGCTGAGTTTCCAGGGAGTGGGGTGAAGGAAAGAAGAAAATGCCAGCAGGCCCATGTGTGTTCTTCTACCTTTTAACAATTACTGAACTACCAAGCTACTACAAAGTTAGCTTGCAGCCCTCACACACACTTAGAGCTTACCTCTTTCTGGACAAATCCACAAAACCTCAAGAGCGAGGAATGTGTATTGAAAACACTCATAAAACACATTTATGCAGAATGTAAGCAACAGCTACTACTAGGTTGCCTACTCTGGTTCAGGAGTAACTAATGCTGGGCACTTTACAGCCATCGCCTCGTTGACTCCCACAGTCCCCGCTCTAGGGTAGGCCCTCTTGCTGTTGATTCCAGCGGTGGAAGAACTAAAATGTATGAGGCTGAGGAATCAGGTGACCTTGGGAATCACCACAGTGCTGCCAGTCCGGAGTTGCTATTGCCAGAAGCCACATGCAGGCTCAATCAACATTTTCCCTAGCCCAGCTTGATGATGTTTATGGACCTCTAAAAAGGAGATGTTGGGGATATACGCCTGGCAGGAAGAGATACACTTGTGCGGACGTGACATGTGGACATATTTGCTGTCCTGATTCTGCAGTGTCCTTCCTCTGAAGAGAACCTACTAGACCACAATTTTATTCCTGATCTGTGGGGTATGGTTCAAGTAGTAGGGGTCTTTCCTACCAAACGTGAGACCCAGAGTTCATACTTTAGTTCTACGATAACCTGAAGTTGCTTTTACATGATGCTTTGAACAATTTTGTTCATGAAACGAAGCTTTGTGGGCCATGGACTTTTCTACCTGTAGCATCTTGTCAGCCTCAAAATGATCCCGATTTTAGAGCGTTTTCAACTTGAAATTCTGGTTTAAAGACGATCAGCCTGTATTAGAAATGTTTTTCCCCTGGAAAAGCCATACAGATAAGCAGGGGCAATCTTACAAATTACTATCCATGGCCCATTTTCCTGAAACCCTGTTAGTCACTGGTCGCTGTCAGCCCTATCTTCAGTCCATCAGAGCAAACTGGAAGCTGAACCAAGAAGAAAATGCAAGGAGGGAGGGAAACGGGAGGTATGAGAAGCAGAGCTGAGATATTTGTGCATTTATTGTGCAAGAGTTTATAATCAAAGCATTTTTCTTCCCCCTGCCTACATGCCAAGGCTGCTCTTTGAAACCAAACTTCTTTGATAACGTTAAGCGTTTCATCAGACTGTCTGCACAGATTATTCTGACAGCAAATGCCTGAGCTTCAGATTTAAGAATGGCTTGAGCAGAAGACAAGTTCTCCTCTGCTTAACTCTAGGAGAGGGGAAGAAGGAACGAGCCCTGAGCAAACCCAGGAAAAATGCCAAAGTCCTTTCAGGTTATTTCACCCAGAAACAGCTGACAGATGAGGACACCGAGATTCTAAGAGAAAAGCAGCCCAGGGGTCTGGAGGCAGGTGCCAGAGCTCAAGGTGCTGAGCAGCCCCATTCTGACCTCCTGGGGAGAGATCCTGAGCAGGCTCTTTTTCCTTTGGGTGAGAGTCACTGGGTAGGAATGTGGGAGAGGAAGAAAAGAGAATTATGCCTTTTTTGGAGTCTTCAGCAGACAGAAATGTGCCTCTTGTAAAGGTTTGAATGACCCTACACACACACACACACACACACACACACACACACACACACACACATGCACGCACATGCATGCACCTCCCACATTTATCTATCTATTCATCTTTATGCATGTGTTCATGAATTTGTATATGCATTTGCACACACATATCCCACATGTGCAGATATGTACATACACATACATATATACCCCACATGCATATACAAATAGACATGATAATCTTCATGCATATACACTCACCCAGACATGTCTTGTAGTTACTCATTCATGTGAACATTTATGTCAGCAAATGCATATACATAAATACATATGCACATATGTGTATACATAACTAAAAACATATACATATAAGCACACATGCATATATGCTCAACACACAAGCATACACATACTCAGACACATTCAGACCTGTACCCATATATATATTTACATATGCATATATTCACATTTACTCAGGCATGTACTCATATACACATAGGTACACACATACACAATTTTTTTCCCCCAGAGCAAGGACCAAATTCAGGGCCTTGCGCTCACCAGGCAGGAGTTCTTCCTCTGAGCTAAACCCCCAGCCCCACACACTTTTTCCTCTAACTACCAACACCATTTATTGTAGCTCTACTTTTCCCTAAAGTTCCTACACTCACTCTGTCCTCTTCCTATCTTCTTTTCAATCTCCTTATTAAACCAGGAGGTGGCCCTTGTCATGGACAGGCAGAGCCTTCCACAGCATGACCAGATACCCCTGTCTCGTTGGAGCAAACCAGCCTTAACTCCTCTTCAGAAATCAGTTTGGAAATCGCCTCCTTTCTCTGTCTGAAATACCCTGGATTGGCTGATAGATTTGGTGATGTTCTCCTAGAAAGTACTAGCAGTTCCTGTCTGCCTAGATAAGAAGCCAGGGTGCCAAAGCAGTAGAGCTTTGCCTAGGAGACTTTAACATTTGTATATTGCTCACCTTTTATTCCTGTCTCCTAATAATGGCTAACATCTGGATTTCAGGATCATGCATCAGGCTCAGAAAATGATAAGAATGATTCCACCTCCCAGCCCAGTAACCAGTCTGACTCAGGGAAGCACGGGCTCAACGCTTCCATTCCTGTGCATGCTGCCGTAAAGGTAGGGACTGTTCAGCGCCCCTCCCCTACCTCCACCCCATTCCTACTGAGCACCCAGCTCACAGAAACTGCTGAGAGCAGAGCTTCTTGAGTCAGATTTGATTACATAAGGAGAGTCCTGCGGACCCATAACCAGGTTCAAGCCCTAGAAGTATCACAGAACAGGAGTTGAGAAAGGGGCTATCCGTGTAGGGACCAAGATTCTATTCTGGGGCTTGTCTGCACTGTGTGTTGGCATTTTTGTGAGATTACAGCTCAGCTACCATATTCCTAAATTAAAAATATTTCATGAGGTCACCCTTAAGAGAGACACAGCTGATTGGAATACACACCTGATTTGCCAGGGCCATAAAACAGAACAGGGAGGTTGGATTTTGTGCCAGGAAGGCTTTGCATAATATAAAAGCTTAGCAGTCATGGCAGTTTCCTCCTAGAGAAATGATGCGGGGGGGCCAAGAGGTGACATTCACAGTAGATGAATAGCTGTAATAATTATAATGCTGTTTGTTCTGCTAGTACTGCGGTTTCAACTCAGCACCTCCATTTTGGTCAATTCATTTGTTTGGATGATGCTCTACTACTTGAGCCGGGCTACCAGCCCAGCTTTTTGTTGGCTCTTTTGGAGGTGGAGTATCATGGCTTTTTTTGTCTGGGCTGGCAGTCCTCTAAACGTAACCTCCTGAGTAGCTAGGATTACAGGCAGGAGCCACCAGCATCCATTTATTTATTTTATGTTTTGGTTGGTTGTAGGTCTTGAACAAGAACCCATTTATTATAATGAATTTCTTATTTAATCTCAGCCTTCAATCCACAGAGTTCTCACTGCTCAATGAGCTCCTTGATCATCACTTGGCCTTCTATTACGGCATTTTATGTTACTCAGCTTCTGTTAGATTTGAGAGGATGTTTAATGACATCACTTAATATATAGCGTAGGGGATCCTTTTATAAAGGAGGGTTATAAATTAAAATAAAATGATAAAGTAACAATGTTATGTTCTCAACGGATGGCAAACACTTTAGTTTCCTGGTAAAGCTCTCCGCCCAGATTACAATTCTCTCCATTCAACAGTTTTAAAATTATGTGATTATCGATTTATCTTGTCCATTACAGAGGAAGCAGGAGGAAATGGTTCACACTAAGACTATATATAAAGAGAAATTACATTACTGCTTCTACTATAGTATTTAAAATGTGCACATTTCAAATTAATAAAGCTGTCAGCCTTAGGAGGCCTGAGAGGAGGCCAAGCTTCAGTAACTTAACTCATACCTATAATCCTAGATACTTGGTAGGCTGAGCTTGGGAGGATCATGGTTCAAAGCCAGCCTAAGCAGAAATGATTGAAACACCCCTTCTCAGATGTTAGCTTGATGCAGTCATGTGCACCTGCTGTCCTAGCTATGGGAGGAAGCCTAATATAGGTGGATCATACCCAGGTAGGAAGTGACCTCCTATCTCAAAAAAAAAAAAACAGCAAAATGCAGAGTAGAAGGTGTGGCTCAGTGGTAACAGTGCCAGCCTAGCAAGTGATCTGGGCAAATTGCAGCCCTGAGTCTAAATCCCTGTATCGCATACACACACACACACACACACACACACACACACACACACACACACACACACAAACACACATACATACACACACACACTTGCAAAGCAAACAAACCTCAAAAAAACGCTACAATTGTGTGAGATGAGACCAGTATGCCAGAGGGAGCCAGCTCTAATGATCAGAGCACCAGTGACCCAATAGTGCCTTCCTCAAATAAATAAAAGATATGCCCAAGGGCCTTGAATAGGTAGTTCTTCGGAGATACCCAAATTGACAAAAAGGTTCACCAAAAGTCTCTCAATCATTGTTCATTAGAGAAAGGAATAATGTAAATGAAATTCATCTGAAAATCATTCAGAAGGATGTCATTTAAAAATACGAAAATAAGCCTGACATTGTAATCTTGCTACTCAGGAGGCTGCGATCTGAGGATCTAGGTCCAAAGGGAGCTGAGGCAAAAAAGTCCACAAGACTCAATTTTAAAAATAATCAGCAAAAATGCTGGATTGAAGGAGTGCAGAAGCTAGTGCTAGAGTACCTGCCTAACTCTGAGTACAAACATCAGTACCTTAAAAAAGGAAGGAAGGAAGGAAGGGAGGGAGGGAGGGAGGGACTTTTGGGCATTTACCCAAATGTTCACAAACAAGACCACACTAAAGCTACCAGCACAACTATGTTTATTGCAGCATTATTTACTATAGCTAAGATATGGAACCAACCCAGAT